AAAACCCGGCGCCCTGGGGGGCGCCTGGGGCGCCGGCACAAGCGAAAAGGGCGTGTGGGTCCGCCTTGTCGGCGAGTTGAGCGCCTCTTCCCGCCGTTTCTTCCCGCTTTTTCCCACTTCCCTCCCATTTTCTCCTTTCCTCCCGTCAATCTCCCTCCCGCTCGCCTCCCAGCCGCGCCGGCACATGCAAGCCGTGTTTAAATAGAAGACATGTGGAATCTTGAATTTGTGCTTTTGTATACAAAGACCATCTTTGTTTGGGCCGTAGCTACAAATACTCAGATTATAGACCACCTTTTGCAAATTAAGAGCGTGTGGTATTTTTTTTCTCCCGGTGCAAAGCACGGGCCCTTTTGCTACTAATAGCATATTTGGGTTGTGGAAAATGTCTCTGTTTTGTTACACCACAAATCAGATGAAACTTTGGCGAAGCTTGAAATCCGAAAAACAATATTGTGTTATTTACATGCGAGAATGTTTTAAAATATTTTTAGGTAAGTACTCCCTCCATTTACAAATATAAGATGTTCTAACTTTTTTTGAATATGATGTATATAGACAGGACTTAGTGTGTGTTTACTCATTTCAGTCTGTATATAGTTCATATTAAAATATCTAAATCACCTTATATTTGTGAATGGAGGAAGTACTAATTATTTTTCTCGGAAAGAGATGCGAGCCCGAGGCTCATTATTTGTTTTCGGTGGGGTACCCCCAACTCCAGCTGATGATAGAACAGGTGCATGGTAGGCCTTTTCACGACACACGGCCTCAGTCACGAGAGCCTACGCACTGATAGATCGAATTCCCTTGCATTATTGTGCCCTTTCGAAGTGGCCTATTGAACAGTGTCACACATGTTGATTGACCTACCAATCTACCATAGAAAAGAAAAGGAAAACGATTGGTTTGAGACGTCTCAACAATACGTTTTGTCTATATAGGGAAAAATGGGATGGGCGCATCCAGCCATATAGTTGGTGAAACGAATCCCTCGCCGTGTTGCGCTCCCAAGGGCAGCTTCTCCAATCGTGCCATGCTCCCCATGCTCAACTATCCGACCATGGAGATGGAGACCGTTCATGCATGTGAAGTGTTGGACAAATACTACCCATCTTTGTCAATGGAGCAAGTAGGAAAACTATAGAAGATTGTGCCAACTGATTTCTCAGTCCCTCCATAGTGCTTTTGTATTTAGAGTCACGGAAAACTTAACATATATAAGAGCAGAAAAGGTCAATGAGGGACTTGATTAATCTAGAATTTTTGCTGCTCTTGGAATGTAGTTCTTCTAAAGTAGTCACTTCCGTCCACTCTCCTCTCCTCTTAGTTATCCTACACGGTGAGACGAGTTATCAGTGATGTCACTCACATCGTTGTGGATGCAGCTCAAGACATATATTTAAGTTTGATTTTTTTATGCATGTATATGAGGTCTGAACGTTCAAGTATACTATCCACCCTTCTCCTACAGTTTGGACTTTTGGATGAATTGGCCGGAGCAGTGGCGGAGCCAGGTTTACCAGTATGGGTGTACATAGTTCAAGATTTACTATTTTCTACCTATTTTGTCGATAAATGCATATTTTATCTACCTAGTTTATGCTTCTTTATCAAAATTAATGGGTCTTCATCGCATGTCCCCTTGTGGCTCCGTCCATGAGCCGAAGCATGAATTCAATATGATATCATCGTCAAGAAGTCTCGAGTTCAAGAACCTACCGATGTAGTATTAAAAAAATGTTGTGACCTACATCATTGCCACACCTTAGGACTAAGAAAACCTAGAAATGAAGAAGAGTGTTGAAATATAATGTTCAGCCCTCTAGAAACTCGTGGGGTCACGCACCTGCCCAGCAGTGTTGGTCGCCCGATGGCCTCACGATCCGGAGAGTCGTTGGATCCTGCACAAGAGCACAACAAGTTTTAAAACTTACGTTTTGTCGGTCGCAAGTTCTGGAACCTGCATTTTTGTCGGTCGCAGGTTCTGAAACTTACGATTTTGTTGGTTGTTCGTACCAAGTTGCAGAAGTTGAAAGTTAATGAAATTTTAAAAACTTGTCAAAACATATTCAAAATGAATATCATGTGAAAGCCCTCATCGACAGAAACACACATATGCAAATGAAACGTAATTTAGACTTTTAGTTCAAAAGATATGAAAGATTGAAAATCGAAAGCCAAAAGAAAAAGAGGGTTGTGTGCCACCGCACATGTGTGCTATAAATCCTCTCCCTTCAACCCTCTCTCACAGTTTGAACTTTGGAATTAATTGGCTGGAGCATGGATTTAATACGGTACTGAACTTAGGAGGTCTGAAGTTCAAGACACTGCCAATGCAATATTTTTCTTTCTATGGCCTAAATCAATCATGTGTCTCTCTCCATTAATTCAAACTGCTAGGTGAACCGGTTAGGTGCATACAACTTATAACTAAAAGGTTTCAGGGTTCAAAACATTGTAAACACAATAAATAACTACAGTCTGCCCCCACTTCTGCTGACCATGTCATAACTCCAAAGGAGCATATATAGACGGGAGGTGAAGTGTTGGAGTATAATGTCCGGCCTCTCCCATAGCTTGTACTTTTGGGTGAATTGGCTGGAGCAGGAATTCAATACTCACCGTGGAAAAACTTCTCCCACCGTGGGAATACAAGTCGGACATGGATTTTTAGGCCTTTGATTTGATTGCTGGAAATTTTATTATATGTTATAAAAAATATGTTTGTCGCCGACTGTAGTTTTTGAACATATATTTTTGTGGCTTATTATGTGCGTTTCACTAGCTAAATTGATGACCTAAAAGTTTGCGTGGCAGACTTATATTCCAATCCAGAGGGAGTATAAAAGATTGTTCGTCCATATTACTTTTGTATTTAGAGTCAACATAAAAACCGACATAGACAATGATACAGTTACTCAAAACAAGAGCAGAGAAAGTCATCGAGAGACTTAATTAAACTAGATTTTTTTTGTTTTAAACTAAAATTCCAAAATGCTTTGCCCCCGCGATCACCCAATTGACACGCTCATTCTTTTTCTTGGAAATGATACATGTAAGCATGGTGAACATGCCATGAAAAACCTTCACATTTCTTTCATCCCATATGATCCACGTGATGATGCCCATAGTTTTTTTTTGTGATTCACATTTGTCATTTGCTTTCGCACCATTCCTTAACCGAGTTATCGTCCGCCCAAGCGGCTATGTCCAGTTAATGCAGTCCAAGCCAATCCTTGATCAAACCTCATATCCGGATTGTGATTCAACATTGGAACACAAAGGTGTGCCTCTATCTTCCGCACCCTCATACCTAGCGGGCACAATGTCGGAGTTTGGCCACCCTCTTCTTTGTAACTAATCTGCCATCCAAACTCTATTTTCCACAATGAACCATCCAAAAGAATATCGTACCGTGGTTATTTCCAAGTTTTTCATATAATGTGATGCATCGTCAAGGAAGTCTTACTCTTGAGCTGAGGTTAATTTCCA